ATATTGTGGTAAGCAGCTTGTAATGTATGATAATCAATGCTTCAGGTCTGCTTTCCACGATATGGCATAAAGGAAGAAAGCAGAGAGGGGAGGAAGGCTGCTGGTGAGTTTACAGAGGGGTTCATATGACTCGGGGACACAGCAGATCATCATAAATATGAGTCAGTTACCAAGTGTCCAAATTTTGGTCACATGACGATGGGGGTGCTGCAATGGCGGTAAGTATTTTAAAAAGTCACTTTTTTTCATGCTGTTGCAACTTTGAACAGTCACTAAATGAACTGTTGTAAGTCAAGGGTTATTTGTATGTGCTGTGTTTTCTCTCTTCTTCAGATTTATTTTATTTATAATATTTATCAGGGGAAGGGAAGGGAAGAAACAGGGAAAGGAAAGGAAGGGAAGGGAAAAGTAAGGATAGGAAAGGGTGGGAAGAGGGAAATCAAAGGAAAGGAAGGGAAAGGAAAAAAACAGTGTCGGGTCGCCTGCTTGGGCAGGGGGTTGGACTAGACCAGGGGTCACCAACCTTTTGGACCTCAGGGACCACTAAACTCATAATTTTAAATCCCAGGGACCACTAAATGGTTCTGTGGGTGTGGCCTAATTTGTGGGTGTGGCTTGGTGGCCATGGGACTGGCTGGGCATGGCTGGTATGTAAATATAAATATTTATACACATATTGATTTTTATTTAAAAAGAGCAACTTTTATCCAAAATCAGGCAAAGCCGGCAGGCAGATTGAGTTGCTCACAGAATCACAGATTCATTCAGAGATCTATCTATCTGTCATTGGCTAGCTCAGTCTGTTACATAAAATTTGCTTGCAAGCAAACTCACAAAATTAACTCACAACGCACCATGTATGTAAATATTGAATTTTTATTTAAAAAAAGAGCAACTTTTACCCAAAGCAGGCAAAGCAGGCAGGCAGATTGAGTTGATCACAGAATAATTCAGTGATCTATCGATCTGCCATCGGCTAGTTTACTCTGTCACCTAAAATTTGCTTGCCATGAGTCTGCACTGAATAATAGAACCTTCAGTCCTAAGGGAGGTTCGGCTATGCTTAAAAGCAGAGCCGAAGATCTAAAGACTAGCTAGAAAGCAAGAAATCCAACCATTTTCTGCTTCCTAGCTAATCTAAATCTCCCGGCACAACAGAACAGCTGATGGTCGGAAAAATAGCAATTTAGCAGGCAAGTTTGCTGGGTAAGGAGTGAGTGGGCGGGGAGGGTTCCTGCGGACCATGTGGGCGGTGCAGCTTTGTGTTTCTGCGCAGCCTGGATTAATCACTTTGGAGGGGGGGCTCTGGGAGTAAGATTTCTCTGCAGCCCACCAAAATTTTCTCGTGGCCTATCAGTGGGCCGCAGCCCACTGGTGGCAACCGCTGGACTAGATGACCTACAAGGTCCCTTCCAACTCTGATTATCTGTTATCTAGAAAGGTAAGGAAAGGAAAGGAAAGGAAAGGAAAGGAAAGGAGAGGAGAGGAGAGGAGAGGAGGGGAAGGGAGGGGAATAGGAGAGAAGAGGGAAAGAAAAGGAAGGGAAGGGAAGGGAAAAGGGAAAGGAAGGGAGAGGAAAAGAAAGGAAAAGAAAGAAAATGAAAGAATCCCAGTTAAATAGCAAGGAAACATCTCCCTTGTGTGTGGAAAAATCAGCAATAGGCATGTGAGGATAAAAAGCCCAATTTATGCCTGCGTTTTATACCTTTATAAATCCTTAAAAGGCTGTTTCAGCACAAAGTAAATGAACATTCTATGAGCAGAAAGATTGAATAAAAAAAGCAGCAGACAAATATCAGAATAAATAGAATGCAAAATATAAATATCCTGAACATTTAGAGAGAGAATAAGATACAGTCAATATTGCAAGCACTTTGAAAAACCATTTGTTAGAAGGGAATTTGGGCTTGAGTACATACGGGCTTAAGGTTCCTATTGAAAATAAATAAGTCTTCCGTTAATTGAATTTGGGAGTCTTTTGACTCTGCCATTTTCTCCTCTCCTCCCCCCCAAAATGCTCTCACGTATTCTAATGCTTAATGAAGTATCTTTTCATGTTGTACATTATCTATTTTTTTAAAATAAGATCCAGTTCCCAGGTTATACAGTATAAAGTGAAGCGGAAAAGGCTTGTGCAAAAGGAAATGATAAGCCAATAGCTTACAAACAGGTTTTAGAACATATTGAGTAAGATGGAACTATTACTAAAATCTCTGATTATTGGAAAGGGGGACAATGTTTATGTTTCCCCTAAAAATATTCAGTAACCTATTTATTTACTTACTTATTTACTTGCCTACTGATTTTATAGGCTGTTCTACTCAGAGTAGACTCTGGATGTCTTATCTCTCTCTCTCTCTCTCTCTCTCTCTCTCTCTCTCTCTCTCACACACACACACACACACACACACACACACACACACACACATGTTTTCTTAAGTTTTCTTAAGTTAAAGACAGAAGATATTAGAAACACCAATCAAGCAGAACACAGCAAACCCCAAGACCAATAAACACAGACCAAGACTCCCAACCAATCAGGATGAAGAAAAACCATTCTGGCACAACAGTAGGCTAGCACCAAATTTAAAACAGAAACGACTGTGAAAGTCTGACTCACAGACGAACCCAATACAGAAGCCTGATGATGGCAGATGAGATTCTATTGAAACGCTGCTACAACTTTAAAAACACAACTATAATGACGTGGGAAAACACTGGAACAAAGCTGAATAATATATATATATATATATATGTGTGTGTGTGTGTGTGTGTGTGTGTATGTGTATGTGTATGTGTATGTATATGTATATATATATAGTGTATATATGTGTGTGTGTGTGTGTGTATATACATATATACATATATACATATATATATAGAGAGAGAGAGAGAAAGAGAGAGAGAGTATATATATGTATGTATGTATGTATATCTATCTATCTATCTATACACAAATTTTAATCCAGTTGTTGGATTAAAACAATATCTAAAATACCCCAGTATTAGCAAATAATTGACATAATTCTACAGGGAGAAACAAAAGAATGTAGAATAGAATAGAATAGAATAGAATAGAATAGAATAGAATAGAATAGAATAGAATAGAATAGAATAGAAT